TTTTAGTGGAGATAAATGAAAAGAAACTTTAAGTGAAACTGTAAATGATTAAAGATTTCAATTTACCAAAAAAAAAATATTTGAGGAGGGTGTAAATGATTATGAGAAAAGTTAAATGGTTTTTTTTTAAGTTTTCCCAAAAAATAAATATAACTTGGGTTCGCTTTTTCTGCTACTGCAGATAAGTTATCTGCACTAAGCCCAATACGATATTATTTTGGAGCAGAATCATGATATTTTTGTAATTTTAATTTATTTCAGGGTTATTATACTCTTTATAATTATAATTTTTTAATCTTTCAATCCTAAAGTGATATCGTTTTGGAAGTAAATGCAAATAACTTATCTGCATTGACTGCAAAAATATTTTTCTAATATAACTTATCCAATTTAAAAATACATTTTAGATAGTCCAAATATATTTCTATGTTGTTTATGCATATACGGGAATCCTGACCTCACTATATGTATTCTTCATATTCTAATGTCATCTTTGTTAAAATGCTTGTAGGGCCTATGGCCAGCTTGTATCTCCACACTTGACAAAAATATTTCAATATTTTTATCTTTCCATTATATATAACACTTCAAAGACACAATTTTCGTCCATTAGAAACCGTACTGTGTCTGGAACAGTTTTTGTCATTTACACCCAAAGACAGCCAGTAATAAAGATAATGTTAAGAGAAATAAAAAGTTCAAATTATTAAAAACAAAATTCCATAAAATATATTTCAAAAGACTTATTATATTTTGTCTTATAAATAGAAATAAGTTTATAAAGAAAATTACAAATGATTTGTTAATGAATGGTTATTTATTTTTATTGAATTGGTAATAAACAATAAAATTATATATTTGATAAAATAGATAAAAAGAAAATTAAAAATGAAAAATAATTTTTATTAAATATTTATTTATTATTTTAAATAATTAATATTGGTAAACGAAAATTTATATTAAATCTATAAAGGTAAGAAAATATAAAGATTATTGCTTGTTATAAAATGATAATTTGTATTGTCTATCAAAAAAAAAAATGATCATTTGTATTACTGCAAAGTTAAAAACAGTAATAAACGTTATTTTCTTTCTAAGATATGCTTAGTTATAAATTTGTGAATAACATTTTTTGGTTTCCCAAAAGGTGCGGACTTTTTTTGAGGTAGAAAATTACATTAAGGGGTAAACTTCTTTCAATAAAATATTTTTTATACATACAAAAATCAAACTTTTATTAACATATTTAAAAAATTCAGTTATCTATCAACTGTTATGAGTTTTTTATTGATAATTTGTGAATAACTTTTACTTTTACAAAGTGATTATTTAGTTTTAATTAATGATTTGGCGTTTGTCTTTTTAAATGACATAAGTTATATCATTTTAGTATATAGATAAACATAAAGAATAAAAATCATAAAAGAAAAAATGAGTAATTTTTAATTTAAATTTTAAATAAAAAAATATTATTTTATATCTTGACAATTTGATATCGTCTCAAATTACAAACACTTTTCCTTTCATTAAAGACATAAATCATAAGAAAAGTTGCGTTACAAATACAAAGACAAGACTATGGCAAAGTGCGCAGGGCCACAGCAACAGTAGAAAAGTGGGTGTCAGGGTCGGTAAAAAGTAAGGTATTGATAGCTTTTACTTATTTGGTAGATGTGTTTTTTTTTTTAGATTGACGGAAAAGTGAGGATAATAATATTATTTATTTATATTTGGTATTGGATTTTTGAAAATAATTTCGGAAACGTGATTTTTTAGAGATTTAATTATGTAAGCAAAATGTGATTGAAAATATCTTCCAAAAATACCACTCTCTCCGTGTTATTTATAGATTCCCGAAAAAATGGAAAATGGCACGCAAAAAAGCTGACTAAATTAATCCTCCCTATCCGTGATTGAGCTTTTCCAGCGTTTTTGCTTCACAGTGCTTTCCCACTTGCCGGAGCAGCCTGGTGGTTTATAGTTGCGAAGGTACTAGCCAAGAGTGTTGGAGTTATGCACGGACATTGGCACGGGATACAAGATATGACACGCTGATACGTTAATTCTAAAAAATGACATATTTTGACATGTTGAGACACGTTTTGATATTAAATAATAATTTTAATATATATAATATAATTTATATTTAATAGATATAACAGTCCATAATAAATCATATAATCAATCAAATATTCAAATTTCATAATATAAATATAAACAAAAATAGTTTTTTGTACCTTATTAATTTTTCTTGTCAAATTTCATAACAAAAAAAATTAATTTATAAACGATTTTTTTATTTTTAGTTAATAAAATAAAATTAAGATTAAAAAAAAAATGTCCGAGCGTGTCCAAGCGTATTGAGAAGGAAATGAGAAGGTGAAAGAGAACGAAATGAGGAAAGGAAGAGTTAATAATAATAAAAAAAACTTTGATCGGATTTCAAAAGAGAAAAATGGGTTTGCAGTTTGAAGGAAGATGGTAGGGTTGGTGTGGTTTACGGTAAGGGTTAATTTTCTAAAATCACTCTATATTTCCAGCAATATATAATAACTAACCAAATATAGAATCAATACATTTGAATTAATATTCTTAGTAATATTTTAACTTCCCAAATAATTTTTTATTCACATTCTCCAAAAGTTCACTTTCTCAGCATATTTTTGACAATCATGATTCTTGGGGAAAAAAATTTTCTCTACCAAATCCCCCTTTAAAAATTAAATAATAAATATATCATTACTAAAATAAAATTAGTCAAGGAAACTTTAATCAGAGAAATATATGCAAACAGTTTCCCCAGGACTTGCAAGTTATATTTTTCCCATAAGTTAAATTTATTAAAAGAAGTTACAATTTATGTTCTTTATAAGTGGTTTGTCATTTTTTTAAGGGAAAAAAACCCATCCAACAATAAATAAATAAAAAAAGGTTAAATCACAAATTAGCACCATGCATTTTGATCCTGGTTAAAAAAATTCACTATGTAGTTTCAATTTAAGCAATTAACTTACTTCATACTTTGTAAATTCAACAATGAAAGCATATATGTTAAATTATCTGTACAAATCTGTTAAGTCATCATGTGAGGTTATAAATTCATTGTCAAATCCCTCTCCAGAAACCATTCTCTTCCCCCTCCGAGCTTCACCCATTAGAGATCCCTCTCTTCTCGGTGTATAAAGTTGTCAATTGGTACTATATGAAGTTGTTGTTACATAAGACTAATTATAAACAAATATTTGCAGAACAAAACTGCAAATAGATTACTGAGAAAAGCCATATACAATTGTAAATAGATGTAGATGTGAGTCATGTGACAATATGCATTCTTGGCAATAAAGTTCAAGGCACAAGTGAACAACCATGAGCTCTATGCAATTCAAGCACATGAAACTAAATGCAGTTAGATTTGGTGATATGTTATGTTAGTTTCGTCAGCAGTTAGCTAGAGCTTGTAGTTATACTTTCTGATACAAGTCATAAATCTTCTATATTGAATGAAGTCAGTTTTTTAGAGTTCTATAATATTAGTTAGGAGTTAGCATGCGGGTAATCATTTAATATTGAGGTTCAGCAACAAAGTTTGTTTTAAACAACAATTTTTAATAAAGTCAGACCAAATGTGAACAAAAATCATGCCGTTATGTGTATTTATATATCAGGTTGCAACTAAAATTAAGCTTCCTCCTGACTCTTTGGACTTTGAACATTAAAAAACAAAAAAAAAACACGCCACTGCAATAGAACAGAATAATCTAAGGTCCAAAAAAGAAAAGCAGAGAAAGTGAACCACACTCAGATTTGTATTTGTAAATACTCATGCTGTGGCTAGCGTGCTGATTCATAGTCAACAGAACTTATTGGATAAAATAGCTAACTTGAGAATTAACTAATCTCTAGCCTATTAATCAGTAGCTGATTACTCTAATGTAATCGACATAAATACTGTTGACCGGATACTCTAACATAAATGTTAATATTATAACATAATTATCATTTCTTACATAGGTCGTGGGAGATCATAACTAGTACGGTTTTCATACTCTCACCAGATTCAATGATATATGCTTAAATTTCAAATATAACACTAATCCATTAAGCCCTGTAAAGAAAGAACAATGAATCCACCCAAGATTTGGTGGTTTAGGGCATCGCAGCTAGACCCCAGGATTTGACATATCCAAAAGGTATGAATTTGATTCCTGAGAGTCACAACTCCCGAAAAGAGTGAAGGGCCCCAAACTCGAAACCGGATTAGTGTCGGTTAGGGTTTTGGACACTGGTTGGCATCTAAAAAAAACAATGACTCCGTTTACATCAGGAATGGAGATGCATATTTAACAGTTTGGATGCCAAATACCTTCTTAAATCAAATTCTGTATCCTAAGTGTAGATAAACATATAATTTCTCTTCTTTAGACCCTCCCCAAGGTAGAAAAAACAAGGGAGAATAAACAGGTTGGCTATGTAAATCCTTAAGTTTAGACTATGCATTTAACAGCCTTCTGACCCTTAGCTTTCCAGTTTCCACAATGGTTAGTAGTTGTAGTTCAAAACACATAAGCACTAACAGCTGATACCTCCATTTCAATTTCATTCCTAAGAAAACGATGCCATTTAGAGACATACAAAGATCAATTGATACAGCAATAGACAACGCTAGAATCACAAAAACCACCGAATCCAATTAGTTTAGTATAAAGGTGTTGTTAATGTTGAATAGACAACACTAAAATCACAAAAACCTTCCGGTCAAGAGGAACATTGAAGGACTCGATATAAGTACACAAATGATGAAAATCTATGAATAGGACTATTACAACAAGTGCTGCAATAACACACATATTTTAGGACTAACTCAAAGTTGCTGGTATGAAACTAGAGGTTGTAACTTGGAAGTTTATCCAAGATAAAACTCAAATTCAAACAAAACCAATGAAAAAACTAAAGTACTCCACGGAAGAAGAAGAATCTGAAAGTTGTTATTAATAAGCCTTTTCTTTCTGTCAGAATGTACAAGATATCATGATATTGCTCATATCATAACATAATCAATAGAATAACGACAATAGCACCAACAACAACAACAATAGCACGAAATAAAAACCTAATTTGTACACCACCCTAAAACTAAATTGGGCAAAGAACAAAAACGAATAATAAAATCAAAGCAAACTCATTCAGAATCTGGAAAATCATACGATGAACCTCTACTCAACATAGATTCATTGCCATTGCTTCCCCGATCATCACCGAGCATGACCTTCAACAATTCCGTGGCCTTGATCTTCCCCTTCCCGCTTCCATGATCTTCCACGTCAGCAATCCCATCCAACGCACCAAAAGCCACCACGTCCCTAACCTCCCCGGCCACCCTATCTCCGCCGCACCGGACCAAATTCAGCAGCGCCGACACCGCATTCTCCTTGGTCCGCAAGCTGGATCCGGTAGCCAGGTCGAGGAGATCCGCGAGTACGCCGAATCCGGACCCCTTCCGGAACGCCTCGACGCTCTCCTCGCACCCGGCCACCTGCGCGATCACCGCCGTAGCATCCTCCACGATCCCCACCCTCCCGTCCTTCACCACCAGCGAAAACAGCGCAGGAACCGCACCAAAATTCACCATCGTAGCGCGGTTGAGCGGGTGGAGCGCGATTGCAAACAGAGCCTTAAGCGCGTCCTTAATCGTCCGCGGCGGAGACGACACGTGGCACCGGAGGATATCAACAAGCGCGTAGACAATCTCGCGCTTGGAACCGACAACAGGACGGTAATCATCGACGGAGGAGAGTAAGCTGTGGATGGCGGCGGCGGAAGACTGCACGGCGGCGGGGGAAGAGCTAGAGTTATGGTTCGAGATGACGTGTGCGATTGCGTCGAGGACGCCGCGCGTGGACATAATGGGCTCCTTTTCTGTTATAGAGAGGTTGAGAAGTGTTGCAGCGGCGTTTTCCTGTGAAGGATGAGAAGAGGAATAGAGGGTTTCAGCGAGGTATGGGATAGCTCCGGATTCGGCAATCATGGGTCGGGTTTCCGGTTCCTGCTTGGACATGAGACGAAGCTCGCAGAGTGCGTCGATTCGGGTGCGTTCGGACACGGAGCTTAGCTTCGAGACGAGGGTGCGAACGGCGCGTCGTTTAACCTCCATTTGGGTGAGGTTCGGAGTTGTGGGTGTGGGTGTTTTTTTTTGTTCGAGGGTGGGATTTTGAGGAATAGGTAGTTGGTGAAGTGAAAAGGGAGGGAAAGGGAAAGGGAAAAGACGCGTCGCAGACTTTTAGGAAGGAAGATTAGAGTTGGTAATTTTGGAAGGGGTTGTTAGGTTGGAGATGATATTGATGGAGTCGTGGCGGTTTCAAACACTTTTTTCTTGCAGAGGAATGGATATTGATTCCTTTCACACTGATTTTAAGCGTTTACCCTTTAACATTTACAAAACACTAGTTATTTATAGCTGGTCGTGTTGCGTCATTACTCCACCAGTCTAACTCATTATATATAGGAAAAACATATGATATAAAACTTATATCCTTTTAGATCTTAATTGTTGATTTTTGTTCATCAACGGTTATAATCTATTGGGTTAATGGACCAAATTTATTATTAATTAATTAATAATTTTAATCCGATAAATTATAATCGTTGATGGACGAAAATCAATGGTTGGGATCTAAAAAGATATAAGTTTATATCCTTTAAAAGGATAAATGTTATTTCCATATATATATAGGCGCAACTTATATTTACAAACTTTTTTGTTTACAAACTATACTATATTCTCTCGGGAGAACACTAATCATATTATCTTCTCTCGGGAGAACATAGTGTAATTTGCATAAATTTGTAAAAAAAATTTGTAAACGGATTCTTTCCCATACATATATATATAAAGGGTAAAACATTTCTCCATAGAGATAAGTTATTTCCGGTGAAATTAAAACGACGTTGTTTTAGGATAAAAATCAAGGTATTTTTGTAATTATAATATATTAAGGGTTATATTAGTCTTTATCATTGTAATTTTTTAATCTTATAACCCTAAAATGACATCATTTTAAGTTCACTGGAAATAACTTTATCTCCTGAAAAAATACTTTTTCCATATATAAATGGAAATGAAAATTTATCCTGTTATTTAATAAAGGAGTTTAATTATTTATAAAGAAATCAACAATAATTGAAGATAAGAGAAAAAATATTGAGTTAGGGGGTAATAAAATTATTATCATTGATTTATCTATAAATGGTTATGATCTTTTTATATAACATTATTATATTAAATAGTATATGATAATTTACTTACTCAGGAATTACTAAAGTCCACACCATCAATATCAAACTTAATGGTTTTGTATTTGTTATTTTTTTTGTATATCGACTCTAATTATTTCTTTTAAATGATTTAGTTTTCAAGAATTCTCACAAATTTTAATTTTTTGAGTTGTTTAAAGCCTCCTCAAAAATATATTTGATGGCCACCTACTCAATCTCAGTCTCTATTGTCAATTAAACTACATTATTAAATTTGTATTTGTCATATTAAATTAATACTTTTTCGTAATATATAGTCGCGCACCAACTAAATTATATACTTTAAAAGAAGGCAAAAAAATATAATTAATACAAATTGAAAAAACTTAGAATATTTTATTTTAAAATATTGCATAACTGCCACACAAGGTGAGTTATGCACGCACCCCATGCAAAACAAGTTGCACAATGCACACGCCCTATACGCAGCTCATGAAATTATGCCACATGGCAGATCCCAATTGATGAATTAATTAGTTTTAAAAATGATTTGATAATTACTTTTTTTCCATTTTCTACAAAAAAAAATAATTAAATATGGGCTAAACGACAATTTGAACTATTTCACCGAAAATGAAAAAAACAATAATCAAACCTTATTAATGATAGTAAATTTATTTTCATCAATTAGGATTTATAATTTTTTTCTATTTGCTGGGGAAACATATAAATATTTGCTAATATTTCTCTAAAAATGAAAAAAAAATTGAATTCAATTCATGATAGATGATAAAAAATTTATTACGATCGATTACAATTTGATAATTATTTTTTTTTATTTTCGGCAACAACAATTTGAAGTATTTCGTGGAAATAAAAAAAAACTCAATTATAAAATAACAGTTGATGATATTAAATATAACTTTTTTAAATTTAAAAAACAAATTAATTTGCCAACTATTGTAAGTTATACACGGGTGTGCCCAATTAATTGTGCATGGGTGTATACTATAATACATCAACCCCATAATCACAATTATTAAGATTAATCAGAATAGTTAAGAATTTTCATGAATTATTAGAAATTTCATGAATGATTAAAGAATTCAGAAAATAAGAAATGTCAGATAAATTGCAGAACAGAGGGTCTGGGTTAAATACAGATATTTACCCAAAACTTGTTATAAATTATAAGAATTAAATTTATTAGAATTATGTTAGAAAACACACACTAAGGCACCTTAAGTGTTGGCTATAAATAGAAAAAGAGAAATAAAATTTAAGTCACTTGACAGCTCCAGCTCGTTATCATTGAGCGAACTCTCCAGCAAACATTGTAAGAGCATGTTGGCCATGCTCGCTAGAGCGAGGTTTCCATCGAGCAACGCAAAAAATTAGAATAACAGAGGCACCTTCGGTCAAAAGAAAAAGAGACTCATTTTAACACCCACAAACCGAAGGTAGTCATAGAAAAGAGAGTGGGAAGAGCTTGAAAAACCCATTATTGATAGAGACAATGAGACCACATGGTATGAACATGAAAACCCATTAGAACCTCTCCCTCGTCTTCCTCATCCTCTCCATTTTTGGTTTTGCTCTCTAGTGGAGGAGATATTGCTTGAAGAAAAACCTAGGATTTGGGTGGAACAGTGATCAAAATGTCACTGTTCATGTACTTATTTATCCAAATGCCATGTGAACAATGTTATTTTCCAATATGCCATTCGTACAAGTTCGCTACAGTGTCCAACGAACTTGGTTTGCTGATGTGGCACGTTTTTTGTGGACATCAAGTTCGCTACTGGGAGTAGCGAACTACGTTGCAATAAATGCACCTACACTCCGACACAGTGGCAGGACATGTGGAGAAGTTCGATGCGATATCTAGCGAACTAGGTGTGCCATGTGGCAGCATCTCACCTAGTTCGTTGTAGGTCCAAGCAAACTAGGTGCCCCATGGTAATCCCCTGCTAGTTCGCTGCATGGGCCAACGAACTAGGTACCAAGTGGCAGCATCTGACCAAGTTCGCTATACCCTGCAATGAACTAGATGCGAAGTGGCAGCTCCCTTCCAATTTGCTGCATGGGCCAGCGAACTAGTTGCCGACAGTTACAGTTCGCTGTTAAGAATAGCGAACTCAGTGCTATTTATACCCCTCCCAACTCCCCTTTAATTTGTAAATCTAGTGCGCTTTTTTTCAAAGAACCCGATATTCTTCTTCTTGTTTTTTGTATTTTGTATTTCATATTTCAAGTCATAATGAGTGAGAGTAGCAATGATTTAATCGCTATTTTATATTACAATGGGAGGAGATATTTTGGACCGAAAAGTCAAGTGTTTGAAAGAGATACGAATATGTTTCGCATGATCCCCATTGCAAAAATAATGACCTGAAGAAAATAATATAAAAGAAGTTGAGATTACAACGGGGTCAATCCCTCTCTCGATTGATTGCTAGATGCGCCTCCGGTAACCCGGTGTAGTGGGTTGTTGTGGAGGTTGTGGAGGATGAAGATATAGCGTTAGTAATAGATGCATTTCGATAGCATGGAGAGTCCTCATACATCGAATTATATGCAGAACTAAACACTGGTGGACAGGCAAGCACTCAACATTCCCTCCCTTGTAGTTACTCGATCGACATTAACAGGGATCCTCTAGACATTCCAGAAGATAAGCATGTGTCACCCCGCCACCATCACCCCCATTAACATTGCCTTCAGATGTGATTCCTGCCCATGACATGTATGATCCCGCGTGGCGTACAAATAGTTCCAAGGAAGAGGTGGACGAAGGTTTTGTTCCTAGCAATGACTCATCGGATACAGACGTTGATGGTGATTTCGAAAGGGAGCCGTCTAGTGCATTGTGTCAACTGATTCTTTCACCAGGCATTATCGGAACGCTAACCCACCACCAGTGGCAAGTTAGTTTATTTACGGTGGTTTTAGTTTATATCAAAAGGCATTAGTAATGACATGCATTGGGATTATATAGTGGAGTATATTGTACCGTTTTGGTCGCAAATAAGCCATTATACGATAGATCAGGAGTGTGATATAATGCATGGGGCACAAATACCAAATGGCATATGGGTCAAGAGCTCTATAAGGATCAGGTGTTTGAGAGCAAGCAGGATGTACAGATGGCACTAAAACAATATTGTATGGCGAATCATCATACAACCATCGTAGAAAAAAGTGATACGAAAAGGATGATAGTGGTTTGTCAAAATCACAATGACGATTATCCATGGAAGATGAGGACATATCTTTAAAAAGGCAGTATTGAACGGTTTATAGGCATATGGAACAACATCCACACATGTGTTAGTCAATCACTTTCTCAAGATCACAAACAGCTGGACTCAAATTTCATTTGTTCATTGATCATCAGTAAGTCAACTAGCCTTTGTATTTATAATTATTCATAATATTTACTAATACATTATTGTTTGATGAAACACAGAAATAATACGGGAAGAGCCAAGTGTTAAAATTGGTCTAATCCAGGAAAGGATTGCATCAATATATCATACAGAAAGGCATGGAAGGCAAAGCAAAAGAAAATTATGAGGACTTTTGGGGATTAGGATGAGTCGTACGCGTTCCTGCCAAGATAGTTGGATTATATGTTGCTGTTTTCTCCATGGTCTGCTTATAAAGTGGACGTGAATGATCATTTCATTGATGGTTGCCTTGATGGATCGCACAAGGTGTTCAAAAGGGTGTTTTGGACATTCAAACAGTGTTATGATGCTTTTAATTATTGTAAGCCTATAATCCAGATCGATGGGACACATTTGTATGGGAAATATCGGGGAACATGATAATGTATATTTTATTATACTTATTTGTCACTCTTGATTAGTATTTTAGGAGTATTTGGAATGAAAATAATGGTCTTTTGGGTTAAATTAGATTTCTGGTTGTTTATTGGGTTTAATTTATTTTCATCATTAATTTCCAACTTTATGTTACTTTAGTGTTTTGATTATATCTCACTCCATAGGTGTCCGATTGACTTTGTTCTTGTTGCGTTTTAAAGATAAGTCAGAGGGCTACAAATGCTATGAAAACAAGAAAACCCAGTTCAAACAGAAAGATGGTGGAAATTAAAGCCTAAGTAAGAAATGAGTTGCTGGAATTTTATTGATTTAAATTTGTAATTAGAACCCAATTATGTTTAGGCCCAAGACCATGTGTTTAGTTTTAATTCTGTTTTTATTTTTATTATGGGCCGATTTTAGATGAACCCTAACCCGATTGGATGGGTTTAAAATGGTTAGTTTAGGAAACTTGTCAGCAATCTTCATTTAAGAGTTTGTACGATCGACAAATTGTCTCTAGAGATTTTAATTCAATTCTGTTCTTCTTCTTCATCTTTTCTTCTTCTTCTTTTTAATTTTTAATTATGTTTACCTTAGCCATGCGAGGATAAGAACCTTTTAATCAATCTAAGGGTAATGGATTCCATGGATTAATCTAAAGGATCTACTTTTTCCTTTAATCATATTCGTTTCTCTTCCAAACTCATATTGATATCGTGCAATTGTGAATATTCAATCTGAGATTCACGATTGCGATTATGGAAAGAGATTAATCATCAGATTTGATGATTAGATTGATTAACCCTATGACCTTAAGTCAAACGGGCTAATACTCTGCGATTGTATGAGTAGAAACACCGTATTTGACCAAACGCTAGGCGACCTCTTAGTGAGGGTTCTTAATTGAATACAACGATTCTGATTCAATTGAGGTCAATCACAATTCTGATATCTTATTATCCGAAGAAAGACGTCCTAAGAATGCTAGCCTTAGGTTGGTTATTTTAAATTACGATTTCAATTTCATCTTTTAAATTCTGTTTTATTTTAATTCAAGCGAACAAACCCCCCTTTTTATTTTCTTGTTTTTAATCTGCGATTTTAATCCTTGCGATTTCCTTGAGAGATGATTCAGGTTGACGTTTTACTACAAATTTTAAGAAACCTGATTTTATTAATTTGCGCGAGTTCGACAGCTCGTGTCAAATTTGGCGCCGTTGCCGGGGAAATTGCATCGGTTTTCATCATTTTTCTTAATTTTTCGTTATGAATATAAATCCATTTTATTCTGGCCATATTTTTTATTTAATTTTTACTTTTTGTTTGGTTATGTTTTATTAATTTAGTTTATTAATAGTTTTACTTTAATTAGTTCTTCTGCGATTTTGAGAGATTTTGTGATTGGGAAGACAACTGTCTTATCCAATTCGATCTCAGAAGTTCAATTCCCAAAGGAATTCGACCTTCTGAGCAAAAGTCACTATCTAAAAGGGAGTGAGGGCGCCCTTAATTTCGCGAAATTCTACTGTTTACTTACCTTTTTTGCTATTTCTTAGTCATTTCAGGACATATTGGATATTTCTGCAGTTGTTCGACTTGCTCTATCGCTCTGAAAATTGGTGAGCTGAAGGAGATGATCATCCCTGTCATAGCCTCACGAGTCAGGCCCTGATTTAGCCAAATTCCTTCGTTTACTATTTTATTTTATTTTTTTAAAATTTTTATTTGATTTCTGAGTTCCTAGGTAGGCAAACTTCCTTTAGAAGGAGGTACGCCAATGATAAAATCCATTTAAAGATCCTCGAAGATACTTTCAGGAGTTAGTAAAGGCTGCAATAAACCAACAGATTTAGAGGTCTCATATTTAACTTGCTGACAAGTTAAACAGCTACCAACGAAATGTTTGACATCCTTTCGCATTATACTCCAAAAAAAATTAGCAGACAAACAAAGATATGTTCTCAAGACCCCAACATGCCCACCAATTAAAGAACAATGAGCTTCCGAGATCAATGTTGGAATTAAGGATGAAGTAGGACTAAGAAAGTATCTCTTTTTATAAAATGAGATGCCATCTCTACACTACACATCTGGCATGCTAGCAGGTTGCTCACGCCACTTTTGGTGCAAATGCACCAGGAAGGGATAAAAATAATTTTGTTGTTTTGTAGTAGCTACCACATCAAACTTAGGCTCAGACACCAAAGTATGTAGTGAGCTTTCTTCATAAACTCGTGAAAGAGCATCAGCTACCAAATTAGTACGACCATGCTTGTACTCTATGCGAAAGGAATAACCCTGCAAATATATGGTTTGAAGAGCTGATTCATGATAGCTTGAAAGGTGGCAAGGGCATTAGTCAAGCCAAAAGGCGTGACCAAGAACTAATAGCGCCCTTCATGAATTCTAAATGCTATTTTTAGGACATCTTAAGGTTACATTCTTATCTGGTGATATCCAGCTCTAAGATCTAGCTTGGAGAAAATTTGCGATCCCCTCCAACTCGTCCATAAGCTCATCAATTGTAGGAATTGGAAAATGATCTTTAATAGTGACCAGATTCAAAGCCCTGCAATTGATACATAAGTGCCATGAATTATCTTGTTTGCGAACTAGGAGAACACGAGGAGAGAATGGGCTATGGGAGTGTTGAATCAACCCAGCTTGAAGTAAATCAGACACTTGCTTTTCAATTTCTAACTTTTGGCGATAAGCATAGCGAAAGGGCTTTACACTAATGGGTTAAGTATTCTCCTAGAGATGGATGGCATGTCCAACCCTCGAAAAGGTGGTAATCGAGTCGGTAAAGAGAATACATATTGAAAACGAAACAATATCTGCCACAAGGAATGATGAACTAATGACTTCAAGGACAAAACCTCAAGAATAACTTCTTGGCTATTGTTAGAGGCAGCTTCCATCACTATGAGTGATTGCATTTCTAGCAAATGGCATGCAACAACAATTTGGCTTGGCTTAGACTCACTTTTCTTTCCCAACAGACAAACTTGTTGACCCTCTCAACAAAACTCCATAGACATTTGGGAGTAGTCATGAGTGACACGTCCCAACAGACCCAACCAAGGCATTTCAAGAATTCTACTAAGGTTAGAGAGATCAATAACCGACAAATCAACCAGAAGGAATGACCTTGAATATTAATTGGAACCTGTATACATTTTTTATCAGAGACCAAGAAGTCTCCATTCCCCAAAAATACTCTTATTCGATGAGAGTGCACCATAGGCAAACAAAGACGAACAACTAATTGTCTTTGAATGAAGTTATATGTACTGCCAAAGTCCACCAACAATGATACTTCTATACCTTTCAATTGTGTTATGAACGTTAAAGATAGTGTGTGATCACTAACATGTAGTGAGTCCAACGCATCATCCTTGGACTCATTAATGATGTGATCTGATTGCCAGATTATTTTCTCATTTTCATTGTGTTGATCATCATCTTCCTCATCACCAACCAGCAGCAACAACTTGTTCTTACACCTATGTTTCATGGACCACTTCTCATCACAATAATAGCATAAACCAATTTTTCTTTTTTCTGCATCTCAGCATGAGAAAGCTTTTTGACAATGGATGGTGCTGGCAAGGCTAAGCTTTGCTGCGCATTGCTGGTTGCTAACGGCAATAGGTTAAGAACCGTATCATGTGTTGGAGACATCTTCGGAACAAATATTTTCGACGATGGTTGAAACGATGCCTTTCGTTCCCTAAAGTGATCATCATATGCCAAGTCTAGTAGGATCGATTGATGAAGAGATAAAGGCTCTCTCAATTGTATTGCACTCCTTAACTCCAATTGTAACCCCGAGGTAAAGAAATTCATCAAAAGATCATTATCAAGAACAGGAACTTGATTCACAAGCTCTCAAAGCGCTGGATATAATCTCTCAAGGTAGAGGTTTGGGTCAACTTCGATAAAGAACCCTTCAGATTCATGTACTGAGATGCACCGAACCTTTTCCTCAATGCCAACGTGAGATCTTTCCAAGAACTAATTGTCCCACTGTTGAAAGTCCACTAAAACCATGCAGAAGCCATACCCTCCACATAAAGACCAACCAATGCCACCTTAGCATCTTCTAGTACATGTTGGAGATTAAAGAACAACCCAACTTTGAAGATCTGAATATTTGGGTCACTACCATTGAAGGGAGGTATCACGATACAAATTCCCTTGAGTAGTGAACATTGATCCACCATGTTTTGCCTCGTTTGAGATTGAGAAGAAGATGATGTGCCTCCTTGAGAATTGAGGTGATGAGGGTCTTATGGTGGAGCCTTCGCCAACAACACAACTTCATAAAGCTTTGCATCTGAGTAACCAAGAGAGCTATCTAGGAACGAGTATCAGCTGCATGATTCTGAATTTCATCCAAATTAGAATCCATTCGTTGCTGAAAAGAGATCAATTCCTCCGATAGTTCTCGAACTCCCATGGTGAATTCAAGAATGAAAGCGCTAATGTTAGGGATAACACTTAAGGAGAGAGAGAAAGAGATGAAAATAAAGAGTAAAAATGAATTCTGTTATTCATATATGCATTCTCATTATAACTCATCTATTTTATTCAAGAGTCTTCCACATATTTGTAAGAACCTAACTACACTAACCAGTCACGCACATAGTGTACTAACATCTCATCCTACATGATCTTAACTACTAACCCACTATACATTATTTCCCCACCTAACTACTAGTAGCATAATCTTGTAACCATACTGGTCTTCTATACATGCAATCAGACCTCCTACTCAATGTAACACACAGCTGCTCCATAATTTAATTTGAGTGGGCAAAATTTTCACAAGATTGGTTCCTTACTCCCAACTGAAGAAAGACAGCCAAATTTTTTGATCAAATAATTCATGTTGTACAATATAACCCATGTGATTTCTTTTTTGTATATGGCTACGGTGGGACTGGGAAACATTTTATTTGGAAAACTCTATCAACAGCTATTCGGTGTCAAGGTAAAATAGTCCTCAATGTTGCTTTAAGTTGGATTGTTGCCTTGCTTTTTCCAAGGGGTAGGACATCACATTCTAGATTCTCAATTCCATTAAAAATTGATGAGTTCTCGACATGCAATATTAAACAAAGGCATTTAAAGGTAGAGCTTCTTCAACAAACCAGTCTAATTATATGGAATGAAACATGCATGATTAATGAACTAGCTTTTAAGGCTCTTGATCGTTCACTTAAGGACATCATGAGGTTTACTAACTTCAATTCTGAAAAGAGACCATTTAGAGGAAAATGTGTTGTTCTTGGAGGAGACTTTCATCAAATATTACCAGTTATTCCAAAAGAAACTAGGGAGGACATTGTTTCTGTAACAATCAAATCATCAAAGTTGTGGTCTCACTGTAAGGTACTTACATTGACCAAAAACATGAGATTACAAATAGCAGCATCAGCAGAACATCAATTCATGAAAGATTTGGCAGATTAGATAATCAAAATCAGTGATGGACAAGTTGATATAGATACTGATGGTGTTGCTCAAGTAGAAATTTCAGAAGATCTTTTAATTTGGATTCAACCAAACCTCTTGCTAGCATTTTTCAGTTCACTTATTCAAATTTGCTATAGAACATGAAGGACTTCAAGTTCTTTGAAGAAAGAGCGATATTGACTGCAACTCTTGAAGTAGTTGAGATGGTGAATGAATTTATCATTTCTCAAGTCCTCGGTGAAAAGAAAGAATATTTGAGTTTTGACTCATATTGCATAGCAGCCGAAGATATTGGGATTGAACCTGATTGGTTCACTACAAAGTGTTTAAATGAAATTAAGTGTTATGTATTTCCTAATCATAAAAATCACTCTAAAAAAAGGAGTTCCCATTATACTTCTAAGGAATATAGACCAATCTTCTAGCTTGTGCAATGGAACGAGACTGAAAGTTGAAGAATTAAGAAATAACATCATTGGTTCAACTGTCGTTACATGAAATTATATTGGTCATAGAGTTTACATTACACGAATGAATATGATTCCATCAGATCCTGTCAATCCTTTGATATAAGAAAGAAGGCAATTTCCAATTAGTCTATGCTTTGCCATGACCAATAATAAGAATCAGGGCCAATCTCTTTCTTATGTTGGACTATTCTTACCGAAGCTTGTTTTTATTCATGGACAACGATATGTTGTTGTTTCTAGAGTAAAATCTAGGAATGGTTTGAAGATTTTAATTTTAGATGAAAATAGAAATTCATGTAAAAAAAACTAACAATGTTGTTTACCGAGAAATGTATCAAAAGATTTGAACTTTAATACATGAGTCTTTACAATCTTTAGCGTATAATATTCATATCAACATGCAATAAACATCATTCCATCATAACCTCATGCATCACGCGGGTTAAAATACTAGTTTGTTATATAACATGGATAGTTTTATTATTGTGGTTCAGAATGTAATAAACTTTTGTCACATCAAAATGTATATAAAAATAGCGCACACCCCAAGTGAGATGAAAGTATGTATTCGATTATCCCCGGTACTATCTTTGGGAGTTTAAAGCCTTAATCCTGAACCCGTCCCGAATCAGACTAGTTGCGAAGCGATGAACCAATTGGAATAATTAAAAAAAAAAAAAATAGCTCACACCCACACCCCCCTCCCCCAACAACAAAAAAGTGGATATATATAAGGGAAAATTATTTTTCCTGTCAAATGAGATACACTTATATCCTACAACTTTAAAACTACGTCGTTTTGAAGGTTAAAAGAATTAATTAAAGGTGTTTTAATAATTTTGTTTATTTTTTTATTATATGAATTTTATCAAAATACCCTTAATTAATTTTTCAAACCATCAAAATGAAGTAAATTTAGATTGCCGAAAATAACTTTATTTAACTTGTGACCGGAGAAATGGTAAACTCTATATATATATAAATGCATTTTTCAATAAAGGTGGGTGATTTTATTCGTTGTACATGGACGTCAGCAGTATATAAATACATCTTTTAATTAACGTGGAAGACCTGATTCGACAGACATGCCAAGAACTAGTATACATCACGTAAGTCAATTATATTCATTTTCCAGTTTCATACGAAATGAGACAGAATAAGTTTCCAGATTTATGTTTTTATTATATGTGAAGGAACCTTCTTTTCTTTTCATTTACCTTTGGTGACTATTCAATTAAGGTGGAAGATTTCAATCTGGCCGAAATTTTTTCATGCGCTATATTAATTACATGGACGCAAGTTGAAAGTTCCTTGTATTCTAATACAAGTCTACAAAGCTTTCTAAATTAGTTTCGTCCATCGAATGCAGATAATTTGACACAACTGACATAACTTTAAGAAAAAGTCTTTGATTTTGATATATCACGTGCAATTGAAGATGTTCCTGCCTTTGCCACAGTATGGTGGTTCCTGCGTCTATCTTAGTATGTATTGTGGTTTGCGATAAACTTGGGTTGTCACTATGCTATGGATATCAATCGAAGCTGGCTTGTATTTTTTTCACTTTATACAATTAGAGTTCATAAATATTAACTTTAAGTAATTTATGTAATTAACTTTGATTGAAAAATTCAAACTAATTTACAGTAAAATAACATTTATATAAACTTAAAAATATACTTAATAATTTTATTAATTAATTATGACATTATCAAGCTTGCAAGCCAATCTAATCCGTCATGGGTTAGCCTACGTACGCCAGGTTGGGTTAAATTGGGCCAAAAAATATTTTCTTCAATTTTTTTGGATCAGTCCACACATGTTATTGGGTTATTCAAGTCAGTCCCTTTTGACACATTTTGACACATTTTTTCGTTGGGCAAGTGATTAGTTTGACAACTGGTCCTGCTATAATATAGGTTAAGACCTAAGAGAAACACTCCTTGTCTAGGAAATTTGTCAAAAATCAAATATGATGTGCCTCCGAGTCAAATATTTCATGCATCCAAAGCTAAGTTAGCTGTCGGCATTTTCATCATTTTCAAGTCATAGTATTGGTATGATGTTAAAATCCTTTCATGCATTGGTACAGTTTCAAATATCACACTATAGGTATATAGTTCAAAGTCATAATACCATAATAATCATAGATAATTAGAGTTATATTAAACTCGAATTTATGAGCATGTTGAAAAGTGATAAAATTCTCATTTTTGAAGTATATCACAAAATGAAAAAATGAAAGGAAAACAAGTCCCGGTTTCAAAAAATAAAAAAATTATGCTATACAAAACAAAATGTAAAGAATTAATTCAATTGTTTATATTATATTATGATAAAATTACGTTATTTAATTTCACAAGTGGGGGACGATGGATCGAACTCGTTACCTTATGATCGTTAAAACTTTTATACCATATAAAGAATCAATTCAACTCAAATCCTTAAAGTTTGGGTGAAGGTCTTTTAATGGTTTATACTATTCTCTAACACAAGAAAATCATGCGGCGAAGAGGTTTATGTTTGAAAAGAAAATTCATCCTCACATATGTTTCCTGGAGATCTTATTTCATAACTCCTCGTCATTTTATCCTTCTCTATTTCCTTCACTTTGTTTTCTCTCAATACCTATAGACAATTTTCTTATCCTCAGTGTGTAAAACTTCCCAACTTGTAAAGATAGGGGTAAAGGTTAATTATTCATAATCTTATCTTATATTTTTGCAAAAATAAAATAAAAAAATTGTTTAACCCGAACTTTTGAACTTCCGGAAGTTTATGCATTTCCCTTGAATTTATGCATTTATACGTAATAGGTACATCTAAGTTTAATGGAATTTTTCTGATGGCTATGTCAACCATGGTAGATTTAGATTGCCGAGCAATGAGAGGAAAGTTCGTATTCATTAGAATACTTTAATTAATTCATGTTCTTTTTCCCTTGTTTTTTTGCAGGGGGAGGGGTCGGTGATGGATTTTGGAGGGAAGTGCTCAAGCCACAATCTTGGATGGTTGTTTGTTGTCTACAAATTCAATTAAAAATATGCATGACAACATAAACAGTAAATCTTACGATCTTTTGATATGACAATAATATAACCCATGACCTTGTACAATAATCTAATTTTTTATTTGTCACGCGGATTCAAGAGGGGCAGGGGGCCACCACCAATAAGCTAAGAAGTTACACCTACCGTAGTAAGTGAGTCCAACACCATATATGTTGGAGATGTTAGTAGAGCTAAATTAGGTTATTATAATCATATATCAAATATAGTCCATAAAAAGGGAAACAAATCTTCCAATCTCATTGATTATGGGCAAAATAATTTGACCAAATTATTGTATCACTCACTATTTATATCCTTGATTATTACTAAGAGGGGGAGAAACATCATCCGTGTGAATGCAGGCCTCATGGTTGAACCATGATAAATTCATGTGTCTGATTTATCATTTTAACATGATATCAAAGCTTCAACCTAATTAAAAGACTATGTCCCTATGGGCTCTATGGCTGTCACTTACCCTATTCAAGACTATGTCTGCCTTGACTATGTTTCTACTTGACACAATACCTTCTTGGCTTCCATTGACAACCATCATGAAGCTGCCACCTTTGAAGAAGCTAAGTCAATTCCAGAATGGCAAGCAACTATGAATGATGAACTTGTCGCTCTAGATAAAAATCACACTTGGGAAATTGTGACTCTCCCCAAAGGAAAAAACATTGTTGGCTGCAAGTGTATTTATAAAATTAAATATCAAATTGATGGTCTGTTGAGCGACACAAAGTCTGCCTCGTTGCTAAAGGGTACACTCAGACTTATGGTGTGGACTACTATGAGATCTTTGCACTATGGTTTAAAGCAATCTCCTCGTGCCTGGTATGAAAATTTGAGCAAGACACTCAACGCATTTAATTGGGTTCTTCAGAAGTAAGTCAGACTACGCCTTATTTATCAACCTGTTTCTAGCCAATCGCCAAGCTAGTCCAAGCCCAATCTGGCTCTGATACTACTGTCAGGTGGGTCCATGAAAATCCATGGTGGGAATTATCATCAATGAGCTAAGTTAGATCAACCACCCCAAGTGGGTCAGACACCATATCACAACCCAAAATCTTAAGGTATTGGGTTCAAGTATCTATCCATATATATTCAAGTCACTTAGCCCATTACGAATTAATGTGAGACTCATCACATTTGAATATTCCAATATCATTAATTCAATTAACTTTGAACAAAAAGACTAGAAATATACCTAAATCCTCAAAACAAATATAAGACGAAATTATAAATGTAACCTTTTTTGTGAAGGAAGCTTTAAAGATAAAATAGAAGATTGTTTCATTTTAAAATTTGTTTATTGTCACTGACTTTTAATAAAATTGACATTAATATGTATAAATGACCACCAGAAAAAGTTTACGATATAAATCGTTTGATGCCAGAGGATCAAAGGTATAAAGAATATTATGTGTGACTTAGCTACTTTTGGTAAATATATAAGAGGTATATAATACAAAAAATATCTTCTCTCAATATTTTATTAAGCAGTTCGATTAAATTTTTTCAATTATGGTCTAAAGTTATATTTTTTTTAGAAACTATATCATTGATGTTCATAAAAATGATGACTAAGAAAAATCATTGATTTTGTGTAATTCTTTCGAGATGCATAAAAAAAACTTCTTCAGAAAGTTAACAAAATTAATAAACTTGAAACAAAAACATATTATTCAATAATTTTGATTGATATAATCTCTATAAACGAAATATAAAAAAGTATTTATAATAGAAATAACATAAGGAAAACGGTAAAAAAAATTAAACAATAAATTAGATAAATATAAAATAAAATAATAAGAAACACTAATTTAGATAAGTATTTGTTATTTTCGAAGTACTAACCAACAAAGATATTGTTTGCCTCAACAGTAATTATGATTGTAGGCTTATTTTCAATGTGAGATTCACAATCTTGCTTTTATTTAAATTAATCATATTCGGATACCAAAAAAAAAAC